ATAATAATAATAATAATGTATAATAATAATAGATATATAGCTGCTTTGAGTCTCTTTCGGGAGAGATAGAGCAGGGTGTAAATAAACATAATAATAATAATAATGATAATGATAATAATAATAATAATAATAATAATAATAATAATAAACATAATAATAAACATAATAACAGTAATACCTCTGAGGACGGTTTCAAAGGCCAGTTCGACGTTGGTGGAGTCCAGGGCGGAGGTCTCCAGGAAGAGAAGGCCGTTGTTCTCTGCAAAGGAGGACCACAATGAGAACCACCACGCTCTCCCAGGAAGTGGGCCCTCCCAAGGTCATCTAGACCGAGTCCTTGACATGAGCCCCTGCCTAAGGCATCCCGATGGGGAGTGGGCCCCCCTGAGGTCATGGAGACTAGTGTATATGTGTGTGTATAGCATTGTATTATGTTTATATATTATATATTATAATACAATACAATTTTGGGCCCTCCTGAGGTCACCTAGACTGAGTCCTAACTTAAGGCATTCCTAAGTGTGTGTGTATGTGTGTGTGTGTGTGTGTGTATGTATATATATAGATAGAGAGAGAGAGAGAGAGAGAGAGAGAGCTTTGTATTATATTATGTTGTTTACTATTGTTTATACATTATAATACAATACAATATTGGACTCTTTTGAAGTCACCTAGACTGAGTCCTAACAAGGCATTCCTAGGTGTGTGTGTGTGTGTGTGTATACACACACACACACAGCATTGTATTATATTATGTTGTTTACTATTGTTTATACATTATAATACAATACAATATTGGGCCCTTCTGAGGTCATCTAGACTGACTTAAAGTATCCTTATGACACACGGGCCCTTTTGAGGTCATGTAGACTGAGTCCTTGAAACGAGTTATGACTTAAGGCAATCCTATGGGGAGTGGGCCCTCCTGAGGTCACCTAGACCAAGTCCTAACTTAAGGAATTCCTAAGTGTGCATGTGTATGTGTGTGTGTGTATACACACACATACATATATACACAGCATTGTATTATGTTATTTACTATTGTTTATATATTATACAATACATTCCTGTGACCAACGGGTCCTCCTGAGGTCACCTAGACCGAGTCGTCCTTTGGGGAGTGGTCCCTCCCGGGGTCTTGTGGGGGCCCCTCACCTGCATACATCCGGGCCTCCTGGGTGGGCACCTCCCGGCTGTGTGCCAGGTCGGCCTTGTTTCCCACCAGCATGACCACGATGGTGGCCTCGGCATGGTCGTAGAGCTCCTTCAGCCAGCGCTCCACCACCTCGTAGCTCTGGTGCCGGGAGATGTCGAAGACCAGCAGCGCCCCCACCGCACCCCGGTAGTACCTGCAGTCACCACCACCACCACCAACATCATCATCACCACCACCACCACCATCATCAGAGACCCCCTTCTACCATAAAGGAAGACACCATCAAAAGTCCTCCCAAGAGATGGCCATCCATCCAGCCCCTGAATAACAGCAACAACAACAACAACAACAACACCCTAGAGTTGGAGGGCACCCCCAAAAGCCATCCGTCTAACCACAATGCACGAGTGAATGAACCCACAGACCCGCCTGTACCCAGTGGGAAGGGCCCCCCAGAGGGCATCCGTCCACCCACCCACCCATCCGTCCGTCCGTCCCGTGACTCACGCGGAGGTGATGGCGCGGTACCGCTCGAGGCCGGCGGTGTCCCAGACCTGGGCCTTGACCAGAGCGCCGTCCACCAGGACTGTGCGGGTGGAGAACTCCACGCCAATGGTGGTGCGGCTGTCATGGCTGAACTCGTTGCGTGTGAAGCGTGAGAGCAGGTTGGTCTTGCCCACCCCAGACTCGCCAATCAGCACCACTGCGGCGCAAGGAAAGAAACACGACAATAACAACAATAAGACACACAATAATACACATAATAGGACACAACTAGACAAACAAAAATGTCATGTTCGTTTGTGGGATTCACAGAACTCAGAAACCACTGGACGGATTGACACCAAATTTGGACACAAGAAGACAACCCAATGTATGTCCTTCACTCAAAAAAATTGATTTTGTCATTTGGGAGTTGTAGTCACTGGGATGTATAGTTCACCTACAATCAAAGAGTGTTCTGAACCCCACCAACGATGGAACTGAACCAAACTTGGCACACAGAACTCCCATGACCAACACGGGCATTCACCTTGAGTTTGGGAGTTGTAGTTCACCTACATCTAGAGAGCACTGTGGACTCAAACAATGATGGATCTGGCACAAATTTGGCACAAATATTCCATATGCCTAACTATGAACACAGATGGAGTTTAGAGGAAACAGACCTTTAAACGTGGGAGTTGTAGTTACTGGGATTTATAGTTCACCTACAATCAAAGAGCATTCTGAACCCCACCAACGATGGAATTGAATCAAACATGGCACACAGTTCTCCCATGACCAAAAGAAAATACTGGAAGGGTTTGGTGGGCATTGACCTTGAGTTTGGGAGTTGTAGTTCACCTACATCCAGAGATCACTGTGGACTCAAACAATGATGGATCTGGAACAAACTTGGCATGCATACTCAATATGCCCAAATGTGAACACTGGTGGAGCTTAAGGGAAATAGAATCTTGACATTTGGGAGTTGTGCTTGCTGGGATTTGTAGTTCACTTACAATCAAAGAGCATTCTGAACTCCACCAAAGATGGAGTTGAACTAAACTTGGCACACAGTTCTCCTATGACCAAAAGAAAATACTGGAAGGGTTTGGTGGGCATTGACCTTGGGTTTGGGAGTTGTAGTTCACCTACATCTAGAGAATACTGCGGACTCAAACTAGGATGGATCTGGACCAAACTCTACACGAAGACTAAATATGCCCAAATGTGAACACTGGTGGAGTATGGGGAAAATAGAATCCTGACATTTGGGAGTTGTAGATACTGGGATTTATAGTTCACTTACAATCACAGAACATTCTGAACCCCACCAATGATAGAATTGGGCCAAACCTCCCACACAGAACCCCCATGACCACCAAAGTGGGCCACAGCAACGCGTGGCAGGGAACGGCTAGTCTATATAAATAAAAATGTAATGTTCGTTTGTGGGATTAACAGAACACCAAAACCACTGGACGAACTGACACCAAACTTGGACGCTACACCCCTAACATCCCAGCGAGTGACCATCACTCATCAACCCCCCTTCGAATAACCTTCCACCTTAAAAGCCTGGCTTCCACCTGTCAGCAGGAAACCTTTGGTGGGAGGAGCTCCCCAGCCCAGGTTGAACATACAGGAGGGGTTTGAGGCACTGACCCACCCACATGGGAGTTATAGTTCACCCTGCATCCAGAGTTCTCTGAAACCCATCAATAATGACTCTGGACCACACTTCAAACACATAACCCTGGTGACCAACAGAACATACTAAGGGACCAACCCACCCACGTGGGAGTTGTAGTTCACCCTGCACTCTGAACCCCCTCAAATAACGGATCTGGACCAAACCGGGCACACAGACCCAACATGCCCAACTGTGAATACAGGCAGAGTTTGAGGGTGATTGCGCTTGGAATCTGGGAGTTGTAGTTCACCTGCATCCAGGTGAACTGTGACCCCCACCAACAATGGACTGGGACGAAACTTGGCACAGAGAAGTCCCGTGACCAACTGAACATATTGGAGGGGTAAGTGGGAATTGACCTTGATTTTGGGAATTGTAGTTCATCCACATCCAGAGCGCACTGAACGAAGCTAACGTCGGATCTGGACTCAGAGCGGCTTACAAGTAATATGTAAATACAATATATTATATGATTAGCATAGTACAAGATTGCTATATTGCACCATACCACTATATCGTAATATTATTAGTAATATTACATGTAATATAAATATATAATTATCATATTGTTATTGTTATATTGCAGTACAATATTATAAATATTATATGCATATACAATATATTATATTAAATCATCCAGGCACCTCTCGGTACCCAAACTAATAATAATAATAATAAATAATAATAATAATAATAATAATAATAATCTTCACTCTGGCCCAATATATATATATATATATATATATATATATAGTTACTAATTAACTAAATAATATGACCTAACACCCCAAAACAAACAAACAAGGCCTTCTTCAAATAATCCAGGCACCACTGGCTATCCAAATGAGTAATAATAAAAATAATGATAATAATAATAATAATAATAATAATAATAATAATTCACCCATACCAAAATGGCTACTCAAACTAATAATAATAATAATAATAATAATAATAATAATATTTCGCCCATACCAAGACGTGACCGAGGACTGGAAAGTCCAGATCATGTGGAAAAGGGGCATTTGTGGAAGGAAGGAAGGAAGGACCCAATCCGATCTGTCCCGACAGACGCCCATCCTGTGTCTCATAGAATTGTAGAGTGGGGAAGGGCCTCCCAAAGGCCATCCAGTCCCACCCCACTCACTCACCTTTGAAGACGAAGTTGTAGTCCTCCTCGGAGGTGGCCATCCTTCTTCACCTGGGAGGCTCACCTGTTCCCTTGGCACGGAAAGGGGGGCAAGCCGGAGCCTGGCTCTCACCTGGACGCAGGTAAGGAAGGGAGGAAGGACACCTCTGGGGCCCAAGGGAGGGGCTCCCTCCCTCCCTGCCTGCCTGCCTCCCTGCCAAGGTGAAAGGTGAGTCAACAGGCGGGGCGGAACCTGACAAACAGGTAAAGAGAGGCCCCGCCTCACCTGGAAAGGAAGGGAGGGGAGCCAGGCCAAGGGGCCCAAATCAAGGAGCCCCACGGGGGACCCCCTGAGCCCCGAGGGGGACCCTGCAGCACCCGAGACCAAGGCCATGCTGGGGTTCGAATGTCCAGAGCGGGTGGGGTCCCCCTTTTCGGAAAGGCAGGTCAAGGGTCACGGGTCTGGGCCCGGACAGGAGGCCCAACCGGAATGTCTGGTCCGTTTGGAATGTGCACAGCAAGCGGGAAGAAGGAAAGAAAGAAAGAAAGAGAAGGCAAAGCCAGGCGTGGTTGCCAAGGTCCGGCCTTGTCCTGGGACTGACCACTGCGGGAAGGACACCGGCACCCTTGCAGGACACGCCACTCCCCGGCCACGTGGACACGGCAGGAGCAGGCCAGGCTCACACTGGTCACAACCCTCAGGACAAGGAAGGGGGACAGGCCCATTACTACCAGCATCATTATTATTAGTATTATTAGTATTATTAGTATTATTATTATTATTATTATTATTATTATTATTATTATTATTATCTGTTTCACCCTGGTCTTCACAATCTATTATTATTATTGTTATTATTAGAAACACAACAAGATGGGTCCACAGCAAACAAGGTCAGTATGCTGGCTGTTGTATTGGATCACACGTCAGACATTATTATTATTATTATTATTATTATTATTATTATTATTATTATTATTAGAAACACAAGATGGGTCAGTATGCCGGCTGTTGTATTAGATCGCACATTGGACATTATCATTATTATTATTATCTGCTTCACCCTGGTCTTCACAATCTATTATTATTATTATTATTATTATTATTATTATTATTATTATTATTATGGTCCAGCGCTCGGCAGCCAGGTTGCTAACGGGAGCGGCTCTCAGGGAGCACACCACCCCCCTGTTGAACCAGCTCCACTGGCTGCCAATTCGCTACCGGGCACAATTTAAGGTGCTGGCTTTAGCCTATAAAGCCCTACACGGTTCCGGCCCCACTTACCTCTCCGAACGCATCTCCTCCTACGAACCGGGAAGAGCGTTAAGATCTTCCGGGGAGGCCCTGCTCTCGGTTCCGCCGGCGTCACAAGTGCGGCTGGCGGGCACGAGAGACAGGGCCTTCTCGGTGGTGGCCCCTCGGCTATGGAATGCGTTACCGGTGGACATCAGGCAGGCCCCTTCGTTACTGGTGTTTCGGAGGAGGGTGAAGACGTGGCTCTACGAGCAGGCTTTTGGCAATTAACTCAATAATGACGGCATCGGACAAGGAATGGAAAAAGGATTTTGAGATCGGAATCTGATTCTAAGTGTGGCGTTGATGATTATGTGTTTGTCTGTATTGTGTGTCTCATACATTGTTTAGTGTTGTTTTTATTGTAAACCGCATTGAGTCGCCGCCTCAGGCTGATATATGCGGTATACAAATAGAGTAAATAAATAAATAAATAAATTATTAGAAACATAGCAAGATTAGTACACAGCAAACAAAATAATTATGCTGGCTGTTGTATTAGATCACATGTAGGACATTATTATTATTATTATTATTATTATTATCTGTTTCATCCAGGTCTTCACAATCTATTATTATTATTATTATTATTATTATTATTATTATTATTAGAAACACAAGATGGGTCCACAGCAAAAAAGGTCAGTATGCTGGCTGTTGTATTGGATCACACGTTGGACATCATCATCATCATCATCATCATCATTATTATAATCTGTTTCACCCTGGTCTTCACAATCTATTATTATTATTGTTATTATTATTATGTTAAACATGGCAAGATTAGTACACAGCAAACAAGATCACTATACTGGTTGATGTATTGGATCACACGTCAGAAATTATTATTATTATTATTATTATTATTATTATTATTATTATTTAAAACACAACAAGATCAGTATGCTGGCTGTTGTATTGGATCACACGTCAGACATTATTATTATTATTATTATTATTATTATTATTATTATTATTTAAAACACAACAAGATCACTATACTGGTTGATGTATTGGATCACACGTCAGACATTATTATTATTATTATTATTATTATTATTATTATTATCTGTTTCACCCTGGTGTTCACAATATATTACTAATATTGTTATTATTATTTGAAACATAACAAGATTAGTACACAGCAAACAAGATCACTATGCTGGTTGATGGTATTGGCTCACATGTCGGATATTATTATTATCATTATTATTATTATTATTATTATTATCTGTTTCACCCTGGTCTTCACAATATATGGCCTTTTGCAGCTAGCAGATGGTAATTTTGTCAGCGCCGATTGTGTTTAAGTGCAGGCCAAGGTCATGCGGCGCTGCACCCAGAGTGCCGATCACCACTTGGACTCCCTTGACTGGCTTGTGCCAGAGTCTTTGCCGTTCGATCTTTAAGTTCTCGTATTGTGTCAGCTTTTCTTAATTGTTTTCCTTGTGCCGGCAGGACTGCTGACCGAAAGGTGTGAGCTCCTGTCTGTCAGCCCCAGCTTCCCATGCGGGAACATGAGAGAAGCCTCCCACAGGATGGTAAAACATCCTTGCAGATGGCCAACGCTCTCACGCCAGAAGCCACTTGCAGTTTCTCAAAAATATATATTATTATGGTTTTTGACATTGCAAGTATTTAATTCAAATTAATCAGCCCCAGCTCCTGCCAACCTAGCAGTTGGAACACATGCAAATGTGAGTAGATCAATAGGTACCGCTCCAATAGGAAGGTAATAGTGCTCCATGCAGTCCTGCTTGGAGGAGTCTACGGACAACGCCGACTCTTTGGCTTAGAAATGGAGATGAGCACCAGAGTCGGATACGACTGGACGTAATGTTAGGGTATAAATATTAATACAGCATATTACTATTAATTAAATCCCAGGCAAATAATATTAATAATAATAATAAAATAATAATAATAATATAAATAATAATAATAATGGGCCATTGGGAACCGATTACAGCCATTTCTTTGTGATTCTTTGCTGCCCTCAAGTGGCCACCTGTTCTCACTGCAACTATAAGACTTATATTACTTGAATATAATAATAATAATAATAATAATAATAATAATAATAATAATAATAATAATAATACTTTATTTATACCCCGCTACCATCTCCCCAAGGGACTCGGTGTGGATTGCATGAGGCCGAGCCCATAGAACAACAATAATAAAAGCAATAACACAACATCAATACAAAACAATCAAAATAAATCTCATAAACAAACAATAAACAGTAAACAGTAACACTAACAACAAGCACTTCAAAACCTATGGCTGGGCCAAATGTGATAATTAAAAATTAGAAAATAATGCTGGGCATGAACAGGGTAAAATAATACTGGGATAGAATAATAATAACAATAATAATAACAATATTCAAGATCCAGAAAAACAAAGTATGGATCGTGGATGTTGCAATCCCAGGCAAGAGCAGGATTGACGAGAAGCAACTGGAAACGCTGACACAAGACAAGGATTTAAAGATCGAACTGCAAAGACTCTGGCACAAGCCAGTCAAGGGGGTCCCAGTGGTGATTGGCACACTGGGTGCAGCGCCTCAAGACCCTGGCCTGGACTTAAAAACAATTGGCACTGACAAATTACCACCGGTCAGCTGCAAAAGGCCACTCGACTCGGATCTGCATGCATTGTTTGCCAATACATCACACAGTCCTAGACTTTTGGGAACTGTCTGACGTGGGATCAAATACAACAACCAGCAGAGTGATCTTTCCTATTATTGTATTGTCGAAGGCTTTCATGGCTGGAATCACTAGGTTCTTGTGGGTTTTTTCGGGCTATAGAGCCATGTTCTAGAGGCATTTCTCCTGACGTTTCCCTGCATCTATGGCAAGCATCCTCAGAGGTTGTGAGGTCTGTTGGAAGTAGGAAAAATGGGTTTATATATCTGTGGAATGGCTGGGGGGCAAGAGCTCTTCCCTGCTGGAGCTAGGTGTGAATGTTTCAACTGACCACCTTCATTAGCATTCGAAGGCCTGGCTGAGCCTGGGAAAATCTTTTGTTGAGAGGTGTTAAGAGTGCCTGGTTTTTTCCTCTCTGTTGTTTTGCTGTGTATAATTTTAGAGTTTTTTAATACTGGTAGCCAGATTTTGTTCATTTTAATGGTCTCTTCCTTTCTGTTGAAATTGTCCACATGTTTGTGGATTTCAATGGCTTCTCTGTGTAGTCTGACATGGTGGTTGTGAGAGTGTGGTCCAGCATTTCTGTGTTCTCAAATAATATGCTGTGTCCAGGCTGGTTCCTCAGGTGCTCTGCTATGGCTGACTTCTCTGGTTGAGTGAGTCTGCAGTGCCTTTCATGTTCCTTGATGCGTGTCTGGGCAATGCTGTGTTTGGTGGTCCCTCTGTAGACTTGTCCACAGCTGCATGGAATACGGTAGACTCCTGCAGAGGTGAGAGGATCCCTTTGTCCTTTGCTGAATGTAGCATTTGTTGGATTTTCTTGGTGGGTTTGTAGATTGTTTGTATGTTGTGTTTCCTCATCAGCTTCCCTATGCGGTCAGTGGTTCCCTTGATGTCTGGCAGGAACACTTTCCCTCTGGGTGGATCTTCATCTTGACTCTCGTGGCTTCTTCTTGGTCTTGCAGCTCTTCTGATGTCTGAGGTGGAGTCTCCATTGGCCTGGAGAGCCCAGTTGAGGTGGTTCAGTTCCATCTTGGAGGAGGTGGGCTTTGCAGATTCTTTTTGCACGGTCTGCCAAGGCTTTAATGGTGCTTCTTTTTTGACTTGGGTGATGGTTGGAGTTTTTATGTAGATATCTATCTGTGTGGGTGGGTTTTCTGTAGACGGTGTGACCCAATTGTTGATCTGGTTTGCGGATGACTAGGACATCTAGAAAAGGCAGTCTTCCTTCATTTTCTTTTTCCATGGTGAACTGGATGTTTGGGTGGATGCTGTTAAGATGGTCCAGGAACCTGTTGAGTTCTTCTTCTCCATGGCTCCAAATGGTGAAGGTGTCATCCACATATCTGAACCATATCGTGGGCTTTTTGGTTGCTGTTTCCAGGGCTTGTTCTTCAAAGTGTTCCATGTAGAAGTGCTATGACCGGGCTGAGAGGGCTCCCCATAGCTACTCCATCTTTCTGTTCGTAGAATTCATTGTCCCACTGAAAGTAACTGGTGGTAAGGCAATGGTGAAACAGAGCCGTGATGTCTTCTGGGAACCTCTGGTTGATGAGTGCCATGGTGTCTGCTACCGGGACCATGG